CGTTTTATATTTTGAACCATCCGGTTCGAATGTCAGCTCTGGGCCACACTCCCTCTCACCGACAGCTGCGATGTTCTTTATTTGAAGGTCTTTGTCTAAAGAATTACTCCAGGTACCATTCTGGGTATCATCTCGACGCTGGATGTCGGGTAGAGACCGATAAGGCCGCTGATAGTCGAATCAACGCCCATCAATGGGGTCTATCTTCCGCGCTCGGAAAAATGTCCAAAAGCATTTTTTCTACCTTGTTCCAATGTACGCTTCATCAATTTGTCGTAATATTTGATCTTCGCGATAAGACTTCCAACACTGAAAATAGTCCCTATTGCAGTTAATTTCTATCCAATAGCGCCGAAGCCAATAATTCTTAGCCTCTAAAAAGCTGTCGTATATTATTAAGTTGACTGCCTAGGTAAATTTTCTAACCTGATGAAAAATCATCGCAGTCTCCTTAGATGTAATTGTTTGTGAATTTTGAAGCATAATGTTCCCGGAGAGAACTTTAAGATGGAAATTATTGCAAAATGTAATGGAACCATATATTTCGTGAGAGCTCTTCAGTTGCATCCACTCACTGCGTTGAAGGATCACGACTGAGACCTATGACCGTTCTGTACAAATTCAATTTCGTATTTTTTCTCATTCGTAATCCTTCAACGCAATGAGTGGATGCAACTGAAGAGCTCTTATGAAATTTATGGTTCCATTAAATTTTGCAATAACTTCCATCTTCAAGTTTGTGAATTTGTCGATTCTCTTCTGTTCTCTAGAACACTCTAGCATACTTACTGTGCTTACTGCTAATGTCATTAAGACTATGCTCGCTTCCCTTTCTTTGTCGACGTTTTTTAGTATGCTGTATCACACGCTCCTACTAGGTCCCCGAGTCCGGTCACACAGGACTGTTGTATTCAATCCAACATGCCTGTAAATCCCTGGTTTTCACTGTATGAGCTCGTATTAACTGGACCTCAATAAGATGACGATACTTTTGATTTCTGCAAACTCTAGTTGGCATTATAATTGTTTCTACTTTGTGTTTGTGGTAACATTTAACTGACTGTAAGGTGATGCTTTAAATGTTTTATAGCATCTGAATATGTCTCTGTTCACAGCAATATTTGTCTGTATTCCTTGATGGCTTTGCCACCACATGAATTCCAATTTATATTTTGGGAACGTAACTTTGGTGTCATATGAGTTTAAAATTTGCCACTCCTTATTTTGCCAATAGAAGTGAATATGCGCATGTCTCAGACTGTCCTACGATTACCTATGATTAAGAATTCTCGACAGAATCCGAAACGTCAGGAGAATAAAACCCTTGTTCCAGTTGCCGTATCCTCTTCTTCTGAATCCTTATTTTCACTTGTTTTCTTCGGCTACGTTTTCTCTGAGTAAATAAAAACCCCTATCTCCACCGCGAAAATGAACTTGTGTGGAACAAGAACCTGGTTGAAACTTAATCGTTTTCTGGGTTCTCCTTTTTAATCTTGCCGTGCTAGTGTCAGACAAATGTTCATAGATAACACGTCAACCGTCCATGATATCTATTAACGGTATCTCTATAGGACCTTCAGCAGTTGTATAACCGGCCTAGACTTTATTGATTTCAAAGATCGATAAAAGTTATGTTGGTCGTCCAATTTAGATACACCCAGCCCCAGAATTCTGTTTAACGGGACCGGTGGTTCTAAAATAGTTTTTAGTTTATGAATTTAATTTTAGTTTAGTTTTTAGTTTACCTTATTATGTAGTAAAACTAAAACTTATAAAACTAAAAGCAATCACAGGGCTAGGGGTGTCTAATGTGGGTGGCCAACTTAACTTTTGTCGAAAAAACATTTGGAACGATGAGTTCATATTGGGCATGCTTACCGTGCAGTTTTTAGCTGAATAGTCAGTTTTCCAGTTAGATGGCACTGTGCAATCCAGCTCATACTCTTCCACAAAATGTCGTCTTGAAAATAAATCTATGGTGCAGACACTTCTTTCAGCAGTCACGACTGTGAATCCCTTATCCGGCAGACTCCTTATGCGGTCGGGCGTGTCCGCCAGGATGTTTAGTCATCGGTGCCCAAAGTCGATGACTCATCGCGTACCATTCTTTCAGGCATTCTGAGAGTTGCTAAAAGTGTTATTACCTCTTACCTTTGCGAGGTCCGTATTGTAACGAAATAGTGTTCCGCATGTTCTGAACTAACTCATCTTATAATTGTCAATCTACCAAATGTGTTTTCATGATCGCACTGATGAGAGCGCATGGCTATTTTCTCTGAAGAACTATCCAATCCTTGTTTGGTCATCAACTTTCGACGTTTGTGGGAACTAGGGTCATTTTTAATGAACACCAAATCACTTTTGCGTTCTAAGCCGTTCTACTGCGCGCCTTCTACAACATTTATAACAGGTTATAAAATGGTCTAATGTTTATGTTTGTGCCGCAACCTACTTAAAAACCCGTAGAGTTTGTACCCAGATGAACCGAGTTTCGGAAGCAAGGTCTCGGCCCTTCTGGCCAATGTACTGCTGGAAATATATTTGAAACGTCGGTAGCTCTCTTGTATAGGGCTCACTACCGAAACAAAACTCCCAGAATTCTGTAATACGTGACCGACAGTAATAGTAATTTATTTTTATCCTTGATTTAGTATCTAATCTATTTTATTGTATTTTCATTTTAACTTATCTTTCAATTATCATACGCTTTGGCGTTGCTATTTCTTAGCTTTTATAACAAATGTATCTACTATTTCCTGTTTTTGTTTTACACATTCCTTTTATATTATTTTCTACGCCCCGTAATGCCCCATCCGTATTATAGAATTCTGGGGCTTGGTTTCTGTAGTGACTGTTACCTAAAAGTCTTTATTATTTTTAATATATGATTGCTAGCCTACTGCTTTGAAGGATTGTTAAATAATCGACGTCAACATGAATGTCGTTATCCTCTTTTCTTATAGACAAGATCACGATGGATGCCCTCGAGCAGTACCGTCGTGATAATAACCTTGACGACTTCTTCATAGATGTGAGTTTTATCACACGCTATTTTTGATGATTTAAAAATTTTATGCAGATCGAAACCATTCATGCTTTTCCCGCTACGACAGTCAACTAGCAGGGCTTGGCGTGAGCCTTTCGATCTAAGGCCTGAAAGATTCCATCTTTTTTGACTATGTTCGCTTATTTTAGAACAATATAGTGACCTACTGCACGTTTTTAAGTTTGACAGGAACAGGCCCCCTTCTAGGTCCCTTAATCGTTTTTTGATCCATTGGAACATTTGAGTCGGTTTTCGCAACTTTTAGCTTTATTCTCGGACCAAATTTGAGAGCGGTTGTTGTATTTTTCAGTAAGAAAATGTGGTCGACAATATAGGCTTAGTTTCTGAGAGGGCTTGTGCTAGCTTTTGCTCCTCCGCCCTGGCTGAATTTAATCTTTGCTAGGTGATTGTTTGTTTAAAACATTTGGTTCTGTGCACCGTGCTCGCCTAGACACCACACCCGGCGAATCACTGTAGGATCACGTGGATCTCAGTATGGTCCAATTGGTGTGCATTTGACTACCCGCGGCGCCTGAAGTGTCCTGTTTTGAACGATCGTTAACTAGAACATAACCTGGTCTTTGAAGCCAGACAACAGCTACTTCTTCCTAATGTTGTTTTTACTAATAATATGTGAAATTTCGTGTGATTGTCTCGATGGGCTACCACCCGTGTGCCACAACAGCAGATGTTTCGATTAGTCACCCTGCTCAGTCACATTGCCAATCGTTTTG